TCCATACTCCTCCTGCAAGGTCAGTTCCAGCTTCTTGTAGTCACCCGTATTGTTCCCTAACCCCTGCAAAGTAAAAACCCACAAAAAAAATGTCAAATGCAGCATTACCACTCATCATACTCATACCATTGCATGGTAACAAAGAAACAGAATCATGAATGGAGGAGAGGTGGGGGATTAACTGGCAGAATTACAGCAGGGCGGTAGTTGGTGGAAGATGGGGAGGAAGAGGAGGAGCCGTACTTGAAATTGGGTGGTGCAAAAGCCAAAGACAAAGCCATGGCCACCAAAAGGGTTGAGCTTTTGGTGTATGGTTGGCTTTCTATGGCCGTTGTGTACTCGTTCAACAGCTTAAGGTGAAGTTGGAGAGGAGAGTTTCCTGTGGCAGCAATTATGTCCACTTAAAATTTTCTCCTTCGTAAAATTAAAAAAAAAAAAATAACAATAATAAAAGGCCAAATTTTGTAATTTTGTTGTTGGGTTTGAGTAAAATGATAATATTTTATCAATTAAAATATCAAATAATAATGAGAAGATTGAGATCCACGTTATGAATGACTTAATAGAAGTTTTGATATGTCAAGACATCTTGAAAATTTGACTATCTTTATTTGAAACAATTTTTCATAGAACTATAGCATTTAAAATATTTAAGACATTTTGATTTTTTACTTTTTTATTTCTTTTATTGTAAGATAAAGAAATAAATAAGTTTAGGAAGAAGAATAAATTAAAGAGATTAATGGAGATAAAACATAAATGAGAATGAAAATTTGGTTTTTTATTTTTATATCTCACTTTTATACAAACTCTTTTATACAAACTCTAATATATAGGTTAAAAAAACTGTAGAAATTATAAAAATAAATCACTTAGTAAATTATGAATAACATGAATTTAATTACTCAGTTACTAAGAAAGGAAATCATCATTTAATGGCATGTAAATACATGTTTAAATAATGTACCAAAAAAAAATACATGCATAAATAGAAATTTAAAAAAATGAGATATGTGAAATATTACAAATCAATTAGTTACTAATAAACAAAACTTTTAGCATAAAATTTTTCTTAAAAATTTATTAAGTTGTAGGAGAGTTTTGCTATCAATTATATAGAACATTTTCGAGTGATTATAAGAAACCATTTTTAAGTTATATGAATATAATTTTATGAGTTTATATTTCTTTGAATCCTATTTAACTATTTCATTTATAAGAGGGTAATTTAGTTACCTCATCTTTTTTAAAGAAAAAACTTGGAGGGCTCAAAAAGGTTTTTTCTTTTTTTTCTTTTTTCTTTTTTCTTTTTTCTTTACAAATTTCCATCGCTATATATTGAGAAATAGCTAGGGGGCTATGGTAGGAACGGTGACAGCCCTCGAAATGGCTTCTTCCATGGGCTTGCCCTACTGCTACAACCCTTTTGTATTTCGGAGAGCTGCAAAACAAGCTCTTTCTTCACTAGTAGCATTCAATAATTTTGCTCCTCTTCATCACCGCCATTACAGAAACGGGATATTTTCTTCCGCGTATGCTTCCGCCGCCATTGATGCTAATAAGGAGCTTAGAAGCACTGACCTGGTGGCTCTCGAGTACGCTGAACTTAACCTTTCTGAAAAAATTTCTGGGGTATGTTCTATTTTTCGCAATTATCTATTTCTTTGTGGTTGTGGGGAAGTTTTCTTGTCCATTCTGCAATTGGGTATGGTTTAATGTGAAGGAGAAGAAGAAAAAGGAAGATGAAGTTATATTCTTTTTTATTTTCTTTTGTTCTCTACTGAATTTTTATGTTTTTTTTTTTTCTTTTAATTTTAGGAGTTGGGTCATGTAAGAATCAGGCAGCATGTCAACCCTCTCAGCTCATCTTTCGCTGTAAGTTGTAATTCCTGACAGTATCGTGTCTTTTGGTAATCATAAACGTGCTAGTAATAGAATAAAATCTTAATTTACCATTTTGTGGGTAGATGCCAGCACCAGTACCTGATTGGAATCAAGTATTCAGGGACCCTACGTTGCCACTCATGGTGGACATTGGAAGTGGTAATCCCTTCTTCTCCTTCCATTTTACCTTATACTGTTTATATACGATGCAGCTTCTGTTTCATAAGATTGAAACTGTTTCAGATTGTATAACTCACTAGCTCTTCTGATTATTTGCAACTCTAGTTTCAATTGCATCGGACTAACGTAGGTAAGTACAAATTTGACTGGTGAAAATTGTCAGGAAGCAGGTGATCCCTGTTAGTTTCCTACGGATATTGAAACCTGTTAAGCTGTGCTCTAGATTAACAGTGGATCAAGGAATTTATTTATTTATTTATTTTTTGGCCTGACAGATCAAGGATTGATTAAGACATAAAAGGCAGAAACTATTGAACAGGTTAGTTTATGCATTTTTGGATAACATAGGTGTCCAGACCTTTGGCCCAACTAGTCCCAGGGGCACCTGCAAGCTGCCCTGTCCATAGGCACCTAGCAGTGCTCCACCCAAGGGTTGTTAGCGTGACCTACTGAAATTCTTTTCTTATCAAAACAGCAACAGGGGGATTTGAACCTGTGTTCTTAGCATGGTTTGCGTCACTCCTTACCATTTGGCCAAACCTAGTGTGTTAGTGAATGGCTTCCTAATGCTGCTCTAGCATCATTATACAAATACCTATATTAATGTCTAAACATATAGTTTTTGAGTGGGGTTGATTTCCCAACTAAAATATGATGTGTATTTGGGGAGAGACTTTGGAAGTTTTACCTTGCATTAATCAGAGAAGAAGGTGCTCTTTCACTAACTTTTAAATTTTTTACCCACTTTTAGTCTCTTTGATCACATTCTTCACTACTTACTTTCATTGTTATTACCATTGTTACTACCGCAAGATGAGAAAGAAAGGGAAACTTGTTTGCTTGTAAGTGTTTAATAATATGAAAATTATCAATCAAAATTCTCAGGTAGCGGCAGATTTCTTATATGGCTGGCAAACAGAAATCCTGATTCAGGAAATTATTTGGGACTCGAAATACGACAGAAAGTATGGGATCAAACTCCTTGGACTGTTCTAATTTACTCAAGAATTCTTCTGATTGAGTTAATGTACATTTTCTTGATCCTCCTTTTCAATTTTTCTGAAAAAAAGGTATGGATGGTTCCTTTGACTAAGTAATACTATTTAGTTGCCCTACAGCTTGTCAAGCGTGCTGAGTTTTGGGTAAAAGAGCTGGCTCTGAGTAACATGTAAGGCCTAAACCTACCCTAGTTGTTGAACTACTTTATGTTGGATCTGATGATGGATTGCTTGAACCATATTGCAGACATTTCGTTTTTGCAAATGCATCGGTTTCCTTTGAACAATTAGTATGCACTTATCCTGGACCCTTGATGCTAGTTTCAATCCTGGTTAGTGCAGTCCTGGAACTGAAAAAGTCAATGTATTTTTCTAGTTGATTGTTGAATGAGAATAGTTATGTGCCATACTTGCAGTGCCCAGACCCTCATTTCAAGAAAAGGCATCATAAAAGAAGGGTTGTACAGAAGCCTATAGTAGATTTGATTATAAATAGGTTGATGCCTGGAGGGAAGGTACATGAGATTTGCTTATATTTTCCAAGTAACTTTTGTTTTATTTTTTCTTTTTTCTTTTTTCTATTATTGTACAACATATTTTAGCTAGTAGTATCTTTTGTAATTATGCTTGCTTTCTTCTTTTCTTTGGCCATTAATGATGGTTGCCTTCTAGAAGTTCGGAAATTATGTCATTTTCTCATCTGATTTTCATTTGTGGTTAGTTCATGTAAAATTTTCCATATACATTTAATTTTTGCGTTTCAAAGTGCATAACATGTATGCATTTTATGATACATCATAATTCGACCCCAGTAAACCTTAATCACAAATTAGTTAGGTTTATTAATGTCTGCATGCCATATTACTGCTTAAGAGAAACACAACTTTTGCTGTTTTCTATATAGGCGTTTTGACCTTCAGGCTGTTGAAATAATTGCGACAGAAAACAAAAGGATGCAAGAAACCAAGTAAAACCATATGCCTCACAGTTAAGATATAATATACAGTCTAAGCAATACAACATACAGTGTTGCCCCCATATGTTGATTTGCTGGTAAAGTAGTTTAGTAATGACTAGTAAATCGAGGTTTATGTTTTGTTTCTAATTTTAGTTGTTAGCGATTTCTGGTTGTGGAATCTGATCTTCGCTACTTTTAATTTAAGTACTACAAGTGATTAAGTTGGATCATGATAACATCTTTTAGTGGATTTAAATTTGTTATTGTATCAAAATTGTGGTTGTAATAGTTAAGGAAGTTACCATGTTACATAATTTCTGTTATGTATCTACTATCTTCATTAGCACCAGTTTCATATGGGATGAACCTACTTCTCGCTTGCAGTGAAGAGTGCCTTTTCTTTAGTTCTTTTCTTTCTGCTTCAATTTATTCATGTCACCTATCCAAGAAAATAGCTCCAAACCGAATGTAAACGTTGACTTTTTTTTTTTTTTCTTGTGGAATATTACTGATTGGATATTATATCCTTTGATTAACAGGTTTTTGTCCAATCTGATGTGCTTGAAGTGGCACTTGACATGAGAAAGCAGTTTGATGCAGAGTCTTGTCGACTTCAGCACATTGACACAATTGATCCCAGCATGCCTTGTGATGGTGAGGGATGGTTATTGAACAACCCAATGGGCATAAGGACTGAAAGAGAAATCCATGCAGAATTTGAAGGTGCAAAAATTTATAGGAGGATGTACCAGAAGCTGAAGTGATCAAGAAATCAGTTTAGTCATTCATGTTGGACTTCATGACAGCTAAAACCCGAGTCACGTAGGGATGGTTAGTCGTGCGTGCATGCCTGCATCCATCCTCAAACCATGTCACCATTGTTACGTAGAGATGGAAAGAACTTGCCGCTGGCTCGGGTATCTGCTGTTCTTCACCTGGATATGCAAAAACTCTTGTATCACCAAACTCCAGGATTGACGTTCAAAACACATGGCATTTGGCAATAGCCACTTCCCGGGATTACCTGAAAACTGCTTTAAGAAAACGTCATTGGAAATCATGGTTTCTATTTATTATTTAGTTTGAAGCTCCCAAGAAGTGTCCTGACAACTTGCTTGGGTCAGCAATTGAACCAGAACATCATATGATCAAGTACTTTTTACCATTTTCCTTTTGCTTTTTTATGGTTTGTCATATATTACTTAACAATTAAGATTTAAAAGAGTAGTTCACCTCCATTACCTATTTTTTTTTAAAAAAGAGTGGTTCACCAAAACTAGGTTGGGTGTCTGAAATGGACTCCATAAAATAATAATAAAATATTATTATTATTAATAATAGTATAATTAGATTCAATAAAATCTTAGACTACTTTGGTTAGGACTTAGGACCCTTTGGGTGGAGCTAATGCCCCTGGAATGTGATGCTTACTGTCTCAGAAAATCGCTGTTGGGTGTTCTTTACTAAATCCTCGACTTTCTTGGGGTTTTTTTTCCTTTTTTTTTTATTCTGGGTACATGGGAAATCATTGAACCCCTGGAATGTGATGCTTACTGTCTCAGAAAATCGCTGTTGGGTGTTCTTTACTAAATCCTCTACTTTCTTAGGATTTTTTTTTTTTTTGGTTACGTGGAAAATCATTGAAATATGAAAATATTTTTCAAGCAGTTGGTGGACGTTGAATTTCAAACCAATTAAACACAAGCATTAAAGGTTAGGGAGCAACCACTAGGTTTAAAGGGCTGGTTCTCTGCTTTCTTAAGATTGTGCTGTATGAAAAACTAATATGGTACAATTAATTTGATATAAATTTTTAATAAAAACACGATTATTATTGTTAAACAGAGGAAGAAAAGAGATGGGGTCAAATTCAATAATAGAACTACATATAATTAGGGTAGGGCGACCCTGCCCTAGTCTCGATCGAAAAATTAAAAATAATTTGATGTAAGACCAAGTTTGTAGGTAAAGAAAAGTGAAAGATCCTCCCCCAAATTTCTCTGTGCTAATAATAAAAATCTGAAAGTTAAGATTGGAAAGAAAAGGTCCTACCTTAAGTCTTTTTTTAGTTACACCACTTATTAAGTTACATTAATATTTACACCGATCAATAATTTTTGAACTAATTTATATTTTGTCCAGCCATAGTTGGATTTGAAGTCTTATTTATATATAAATTATACATGTTAAATTTTAAAATTTTAA